ACTTCTGCACAATGGGAGAATGACGCACAGAACCAGAAATCAGCCGCCTTCGACATCGTTGACATCAGCTGGATGACCAAATTCGAATTCCTCCATTTGGTCACAAATATGGCGGAAAAGTATATGCACAGTCAGAAATCTGCCGAAGAATTACCTACTTGGTAATAACTGTAAGCAGAAAATTGACAGGAGAACGTGGATCGTCGGATCGGTGCGGAATCAACGGCACGAATGCAGCGGAAACTACACTATGGAAATCATCATCATGGAGACAACATTCGTGACCAGCGACTGCACAATCGACGCATCTTCTAACTAGTGTCGATAACGATCGATTTATTTCGACGAAGTCATCTTCGTTAAAAATGGATCGACATCAACACGACGGGATCTTCACCCAGGAAAAACAATGGAGCTGCGTGAAGACATGTTCTCCATCCACGAGACACTTCTTCATACAAATTGATCGACAACCTATGGGATTGCAGAGAAGTAGCCGTTTTCTCTTGCAATGCTCCCAAGTTCAAGTTGCTGCGAAGGAGCAGATTTTGCACGCAACGACGACGCAGTGAACCCGTCTCGTCAAGGCCAGCGAGACACTACTTTGTAACAGGAGCTGAACGATTCATCTTCATCAAGAATCTCAGCCATCCGAAGTGATTGATTGGAGCAGTCTCAACATCGACCTCACGAGGCGACACACCAATCATGCGTCGCGATTCCAGGTGTTAATGACCTGCGTGGAAGAAAATTCCGTGCACGTCACGATGCTTGACAGATTGAGGAGTAATTAACCTCTAATCCGGCAAGTACTTGTTCACTAGCGACCCTACGGCACATGCATTGGAGGCGATTCTACCAGAAGCCGAAGCGTTACAAGCATCAGCGTAACTTCGACGATGCAGGAGAACGTCAAGCAACACGAGGTGTCAACAAATGAGGGAGATGCGGACTACTACAACACGATCACGCGCTCTACCGACCGTACATCGGAGGCACGGATGAGCATACCAGGAATTGCTACCCGTGGATACATTGAGGGGAGAAGCAAATTTCTCTTCACACCCTCAAATGAAACAATCATCGGCAGCAATGGAGCAACACATGTGTACTAATGTGCACGTGTTCCTGGTAGTTACGCCTGTTACACCCATCAGGAACACTCTACTGGAAAGAGGGAGTTGATGGATTCTCCTTCAACCGGTACGAGTTAAGAGAATTCTCTGCAGCAGCTGCCGCCGTCGCCATCGTCGCAACCGCCGCCGCCGCCGCAGCAGAAGACTCGACACAACAGTCATATCCAAACCCTGATGGATCATTCTCCGCTCAATGGAGATAACGCTGGATTATATTCCAGTATGATCGTAAAGTCCTGGTCAGGCACAGTAATATGATTTCCAGCTAGTGGGAAGGAGATACCACTATGCGAGGAAATAATATGGCAATGCCATATACCCTCAAGAGCAGCAGATATTTGCTCTTATGAGGATAAGAGGACCACGGTACTCTACCGGTATACAGTCCTCATGGCCTATGGCTTTCCTCAAAGTCATAAAACCTGCGTCGCAACCAATCCATTACCAGCACCAACTCCACGGAAGCAGATAGGCGTGAAATGGAGCGCCGACGCCACTCCGGATAGTGGACTCCGCGTATCTCCAACAACACCCCTGTTTGCCGAAATGGAGAAGACTTCAACACCGATGCTGAGTAGCTGAGACTTCTTCGACATCATCGCTACTTCAAGGACAGTAACAGAATGAGACAACACATGATGGCACCAGAAGACCTATCCTGATATATGCGCCCTGACACCGATGCCTACCGAGGGCCTCCGTGCTAAACTGGGAGTGCATAAGGTCATACTGGATTGGCTATCAGCAATGCCCATTTGGAAGTGGGAAAGGATTACTTGGGAATACCCATAACATTCCCAGATGTCCTAACCCATCACCGTGGGATATCTACGCAGCTGAGATTCCTTGCGTGAGCAACCACCGAGGGAAACTACTTGGCGCCGATTCTGGAAGTTACCAGCTCCGCATTTGTGGTACCAACCCCTCGCATGGTTTTGAAAACAAGGGATACGCTGAGCAGCATTTTGCATGCGCTGTTGTATGCAAGGCAGTGTGACTAGCAGACCGCGTGGTGGACAGGGTTACTACTAGTGATTCTGCTCTCCATTCCGCAGCACTACGATGCCCAGTGGGTACGACTCGCGACAACACTAAGGCATGGACCAGCTCGACAGAAGCTGTACTATGACATGACTGCCATACCTCCAACACCTGGTGATCTTCACACGTGGACCAGATGCGGGTAACAGCATGCACAGTTCGGACAACATAGCCACTCATCTGCACGTTACAGCACACTGTTCCAACCATTCACATCTCCAACTCCGACCTGCATCTGCCCGTCCTGGAGTTTGCCTACAAGTATGCTCCTGACGCCGCTACTGGACAGACACTGTACTTCCTCTGTTACGGACGCCACCTGATCACACCACAACAGCTAACCATACCAGCAACAGTCCAACCCGCTCATGATTTCATCCCGACCACAGTCCAACTGGCTTCCGATTTCATCGCCATCGTCCACCATCTTGTACATCGACCACACAAGCACCTCTTGGACATCCAACATCAGCACAAGCACTTGGCAACTCATCACTACCCTTCTCGAGACCATAATCTCGACATCAACCAACTTCCATCCAAGCTTCAACCTTGCTTCTGCGGGACTATCCTCTTTGAAGCAAAGGTCACTTCATTCACCTTCCGCTTCCGCTTACCAGCCTCTTGGAAAATCCATAACACCTTCCATACCAGCTTCTTAAACCCTCTCAAGACCAAACACGCTCTATACCGAATGCCAACCACTGTCGTCGCCCGTGTTCATCCACGCCATGGGACAACTATGTACTTGGACACCGTCATCGTCAGACTGGCACTCTGGAGCTTCTTCTTTGCTGGAAGGGTTATGATACTTCTGAGGCTGCGTCTCTGAATCCGACATGGGTAACGCCCGTCGTCCTCTTCGCGACTACCTTGTCAAGTAGGGTGTTACGTCTACCACCCAGCTTTGAGGGGGGGAAGTGTGAGAGTACGACCTCGTTACACCAATTTCCCTTTTCCATATTTCCTTTCTATTTCATTCCTCTTTTTATCCTGATTCATTTGGTCTTTATCTTATCTCATTTGGTTTCCTATTCCTCCTTTTCCATTATCCTTTGGTTTATCCTGTTATTATAAGTATATCACCGACCAGGCTCGGGATGTACTGGCGCGCTATATCTAGCGTAATCCTGCCGTAATCCCTTAAAGCCAATAGCCTCGCGTGGCTATACGCAGGGTGATTCTATTTCTAGAAGGGTCTATTTCCTTTGGATAGGATAAACCTGGTTACCTGATGTACTCTGGAAGTATAAAAGCACCTTGTACTGATTGATAGTGCAACATTGAGCAAACCTTTCCTCGGGACATTCGATCCTGTGACAGCCCATCTGTCTGCGGATGGTAGGCGGATGACATGGCGAGTTTGGTCCCGAGCAGAGACATTAGTTCCTTCCAGAACTTGCTGGTGAACTTGGGGTCTCAGTCGGACATGAGTGTGGTCGGAATGCCATGTTGTGAGATCATGTAGCGAACAAAGAGTTGTGCCATCTCCTCGGTGCGTGCTGTCGTGTGTGTCGGGATGAAGTGTCCATTTTGCAGAACTTGTCAATGACGACGAGGATCGCGTCATGACCGCTTGTGGTAGTGGGTAGCCCAGTGATGAAGTCTAGGCTTACCACTTGCAATGGCTATTCTGGGACAGGAAGAGGCTGTAGCAGACCCGCCTTTTTTTGCTTGCTGCTCTTCATTCGCTCACATGTAGTGCATGAGATGACGAATTTATGTACGTCATCTGCCATCTGGGGCCAGTAGTAGTGTTTGGCGATACCGGTGAGCGTCTTGTTGCTACCGAAGTGTCCCGCGTACAGGACGTCGTGGTATTCTTCGAGTAGTAAGTGGCGCAATGGAGGGTAATTAGGTACCCCAGATCTTCGTTGATCCTTTCCGGTACGCGATGTCGTAGTCCCACTGTAGCAGATGTCGCTTTTCTGCCAAGGGAATTTCGGGGTCGATGGTGTACCCGTGTGTGAAGAGTCCCTTGAGGAGTGGATTCATCCCTTCAACTTGGATAGCGGCAACGTGTGCAGGCCGGCTAAGCGCATCGGCAACGTGTTTTTATGGCCAGGCTTGTACACGATGTGGTAGTGGAAGTGCGTCTCAAGGAACTCGATCCACCAAACCTGTCGCCTGGAGAGGCTTGGTTGCGTCTTCAAATATTTTAGGCTGCAATGGTCGGTGTCTACTGTCGTCTTGCGTCCTTCGAGATTGCATCTCCACGTTTTGAAGGCGATGATGATAGCCAGGGCCTCCTTGTCATGTATCGGATAGTTGAGTTCTGCCCCGTATAGTTTCTTGCTGAGATAGGCGATTGGTTGCAGTCCATTCCCCTGGTCTTGCATCAAGACTGCTCCCACTACCTGGTCGATGGCGTCAGCTTTGATAACGTAGTCGCGTTCCGGGGTTTGGCAAGATGAGTACGGGTGCGGACGTGAGTGCTTGCTTCAGCTGCTCCACGGCTTCCTGGTGCTTCGGCTCCCATTTACAGGGCGTGTTCTTTTTTAGCAGATTCGTGAGTGGCGCGGTGATTTTCGCGTATTGCGGCACGAACCTGTTGTAGTAGTTAGCGAAGCCAAGGAACTGCTGTAACTCTTTCACATTCTCGGGTGTCTTCCACGTACGTACGGCTTCGATTTTCTTGGGGTTGACGTGAACTCCTTGAGCGCTTACGATATGTCCAAGAAATTGGACTTTCTTGAGGGCGAAGTCGCTCTTGGATAGTTTGACGTAGAAGCGTTCTCGTCGAAGAATCTCGAAGACGCGTCGTAAGTGTTCGACGTGTTGTTGCATGTCGCGCGAGTAGACGAGGGTACACCACCACGCATTCGTCCAAGAGTGGGCGTAGGATGTGATTCATCTCTGCTTGGAACGTTGCAGGTGCGTTGTGAGTTCGAACAGCATCACCAGATACTCGTACAATCCGTACCGAGTTCGGAAGGCCGTTTTGTGAATGGAATCGTCCGCCATTTTGTCTGCCAGTATCCGGACCGCAGATCTAATTTTTGAAATACCGTGGCTCCCTGAAGCTGGTCGAGCAGATCGTCGATTCGTGGAATCGGGTACTTGTTCTTGATGGTCTGCTTGTTGAGAGTCGGTAGTCGATGCACATGCGTAGGCTTCCGTCCGGTTTCGGTGTGAAGAGTACTGGGGCACCGTACGGTGAAGTGGATGGTCGGATGAGTCCTTTGGCGAGGAGATATTCGATCTGCTTCTTTCATGTTGGCTAGTTCTGTGGGGCTGAGCCGATATGGTGCTCGGAAGGTCGGTTTCGAACCTGGTTCCTCCACGATCTCGTGTTGATGCGTTCGGTATGACGGTAGCTCGTCCGGGAGGTCGTTGGGAAGAATGTCTTGGAACCCTTCAGTAAGTCCTTGATTTTTTCTGGTGGTTCCGAGGCTTTCTCTCCGACATTCCCACTTCCGTTGCTATCGCCAGGAACCCGGTGTTGGTTCAGTTCACGTCCTTCTCGAATCTGGCGAGTGTCTCCACTGGGATCTCTCCTGTATCGCCCAGTTGGGTAGCTGGACTCTCCTTCCTTTGTTGTAGATGCTTGCAGTGCGGTTTACCCAGTTGATCTCGGGGTTGAATCGTTTTAGGAAATCTCGCCCGAAGATCAGGTCAAGCCCTTTTATATTGGTGATGGGGAGAGCAGGTTTCCAGCGCAGTGGACCGATTTGTAGGTGTAACACTGCTTCGCCGTACACTGGTAACTTGCTGCCGTCCACCATTGTTGCAGAAAATGCTGATGGCTTGTACTCTTCTCGAAGTCGGTCGATGGTTGCCTTATCGCATACGGTGTGCGATGCTCTGCTGTCCATGAGTGCTTGGAGGCGTCGTCCTTCGCAGATGACCTCGAGCATGAGGGGCAGGCGTTGCTCGGAGTACCCATAGATAGTTTCATTGATTGGGTCATAGGGTACATCCCAATATTCGTTGCTTCCTACTCCTGAGCTGGCAGCTAGCCGAGGCTGCTTGGAGAAAGGCTCTTCTCCAGGGCCCGGAGTTTCCCGTGACGACTGTTCGTGTCGTTGACGAAGTTGCCGAGTTGGATGCATCCGAAGAAGGAGTTCGGGTTTTTGCAGCTTCTTGTAGACCCCCAGCTTCCTTTTGAGCTACTTCAGCTCCACCGACGTCTTCCCTGGGGAACGGGTAGTCGCTGTGGGCTGGTGTCGGGAGAGGACGTTGACTCCGTGGAAAGGTCGGCTTCTTTCCACACTCCTTAATTTGGTCCCCAAGTTCTCTCGGTACCGGTATGATCTCCACAATTTTCTGCTGAGTCCCTCCCGTAATTTCTCCAAGGCTCTAGCCCCTCGAGAATTACAAGTTTTCATTAAAGCATCTTTATAAGATAACTTTAACGAATCCTTATAATTTCTTGGTCTTCAAGGAGTTTCCCCGTCTCGGCAGAGTCTTTTTCGTGGAGTTAGATTTTTCCTCGGCGAATTCCTCTGGCAAAGACTGGTCGTGGGGTGGAGATTTTTCCCCATCATTTTCTCTGTTCGCGTCGAATCAGCTGCGTCGAAGTTGATTTTCCGGAAGTCCCGGCCGCTTTCGGATCTTTTCTTTTTCGCCAGCTAGATCCGCAATTACTGCGAGTCCCGTTTTTTGGCTTCTGATTGGCCGAAGGATTTCCGCCACTGTTGCGTGCCCGATACTCAGCGCGTGCGGCTTTCATTTTGTTGCAGTCGAAGATTCGATGACCCGGCACCCCGCAAAAATCACACGTGAAGTTGGTGTTTTTCGGACGTGGCCGCCCTTCGAACCTGTCGACTTCCATCGGGTCGGCGAACGTGGGGTGAGCCGAGCGGTCGCCCTGTCGCGTACTGCCGACGTGCGCCCGTCGTGTCCCGGCGTTGACCATGTCGAAGCGTTCCGCGGCCGATACGACGTCACTGTAGCTCGCGTAGTTTGTCGCTGCCACTTGTCGTTTGACTTCGGTCTTCAGCCCGGCGAGGTACGATTGTACTTTTTCCCCTTCGGTCACGTCGGGAATGCGGTTATAAAATTCCTCCATCTGCTGCGTGTACTGTGCTACACTCCCGAACAGTCGATGGCGATGAATTTTTTCCCGGGCAAGGAAACCCGAATTTATCGGCTCGAAACGTTTCAGCAGGTCGGTGCGGAACTGCTGCCACGTGGCTTCGCCGTGGATGAAGGTGCTGTTACCGCCGATCCACTCGAGTGCCGGTCCTCGCTTCAGCGTCGCTGCAAGTCGTACGCGTTGACCGTCCCAGACTGGCGAGCTCCATCTGGCGGCTGCAAAGTAGATCTCCATGCCGGTGATCCATCTGCGGACGTCGGAGTTTCGATCGCTCGCATCGAACAGCTCAGGTGGGCGCGGTTTCGGAGCCTTGAGAAACTGCTGCGACTGCTGCGTCATCGCCGTTGTCGTTTCGTGTTGCGCTCCGGCGAGTCGAGCTACTCGCTCGAACTCGTTTCGCCACGCTTCGCAATCCGATCGCATCTCCTCCTGAAGGGCTGCGGTGCTCACGAAGAGCTGCTGGGTAACTTCGACGGTGTCGAAGTTTGCCATCCTGTTCAAAACACGCGCGGGGGGGGGGGGGGGGGGGGGGGGGGGTAATTTGAAAAAGCGCGGAGCTGGTGCTTACCAGAATCGGCGTCGAATTGGTCGCCCCCGGCGGTTTTTCGAGGCAGGAGTCCCGCTGCGGCTGCTTAGCTGAGCGTGGCCGAGTGAGAAAAACTCTGATTACCAAGTATCATAGGATCGAATGTGTCGAGGAAAGGTCCCCTATCGATCAGTACAAGGCGCTTTTATACTTCCAAAGTACATCAGGTAACCAGGTTTATCCTATCCAAAGGGTTTAGACCCTTCTAGAAAATATAATCACCCTGCGTATAGCCACGCGAGGCTATTGGCTTTAAGGGATTACGGCATGATTACGCTAGATATAGCGCACCAGTACATCCTGAGTAGATATAATGATAATAACATGATAAACAAAGGTTTTATGGAAAAGGAGAAATAGGAATCCAAATGGAATGAGATAAAACCCAAATGGATCAGGATGAAAAGAGGAATGAAATGGAAAGGGAAGATGGAAAGGAGAAAGAAATGGAACGGGGTCCTACTCTCACAAAATGCATGACTATAAAATTTGATATTATTATGTTAGTGATGGTAGTTGTTGTTCCCCAAGTGAGAATGCGAGTATGGGGTACAAAGGGCCAATTTTATGCACTATTGGTCCTAGAATTATTGAGGCTAGCTTGACTCCATTATTGCCACTCCATTATTGGTTTGGAGCCAAAAGAGTAGTACAAATCCTTGTACTTTCTTCGAGCAGTCAACCATTTCCGATTCAACGCTTCCGCTACGCGACATAGTCCGATTTCCTACAAAAACGGCAGGGGGAATACCAGCCAAGCGACAGCGAGAAGTGAAAACGAATCGAGAAACCCTAGCTGAACTGCCAGTCGATGCAAAAATTAATGATCTAATGTTAACGTTTTCATACTCATCACGCAGCTTAGCACAATCATGTATGATTCGAAGGGCATTTGGAAGATTTCAGGTCTAAACCTTTATGCCAACACATTATCCGTGACACACTTTATTTGTTAAAAAAAAACTGAAATAAATATCTACATAAAAGTGATGATAGCCGAATGAAGTGAGCTAACCAATATGAATGTCCATGTCATGTATACGTGTTTTTTTCTTTTTTCTTTTAATCAGCTATGATTATCAACCCTGGTAATTCATTTCCACGTTTTGAACCCAACATACTTTCAAGAATCGTCTTAGGGTTGCAGAGCTGCTTACATATTTCAAGTTCTAAACCCTAAGACGATTCCGTCTTTCGTTTACGGGACGCGTAAGACACAGGGTTCGCCCAAAAAAATAGCTTGAAGAATCAGCATTCCCTGTAAAATCCCTTCATGTTTTTCCGGATAGTTTGGTACGAAGCGTCTTGGAGCATCGAAATACAATAGCAGTAAGCACACTTACACCATAACGCTACAAACCGGGCTATTGTGATAAACACTAGCCGCACACCACTGCACGTCTGTGCTCTCCCTCACAAAGGTTCACAGCGTAGCAATCGAACCAGAATGAGTTTCGGGCCCATATGGATGGTTCCTGGTCCTGGAGAAAAACGTCCGGAAATGGCCAAGAGGTTTGTGAAACCGACCCTATCAAAATCCGAATTCCAACACAAAACATTCCTGAATGTACCTGATATTCTAGATGTTTATCCTTGAACCTAGAGCCCTGGAGTGTACTACTATACACCTGATGCCCTTTTGTGTCCTAATTTATTTTAGGGCGAGTGCTCTTGTGTTGAGCACAAAATTATCTTGACAAAACTGGGCTTGTACATTGGACAAGGGTTGCCACGTTGGCAGCGATGTTGTGAAAAGGGTGCCCTGCACTGTTTTTTGTGAATCTGGGTAGCAACAAGAAGTATTCCTGCAATTTATTAGGGATACATAACATGACATGAACAAAATGGCTACCCGTAAAAAAGCAGTCGAGCAGAAAACAAATAAAAGAAATCCCGATTTACACGACTAATCTTGCTCCCTCCAGTCCCCATTATCCATCAAAAACCTCTCTAGTGCGTCAATGGTGTATATTCCAGCACCATAGGCAATCGCCGCTTCGTGCTGAGAATCTCCTGCATATGCTAACCCGCCTGCATCAGTAGCCCCTACCCCAACTTCCAGACCTACAGCTGTCGCTCCCAAATGCTCCATAAGGGGGACAACAGCAGAATTACTCTTGTACCTGTAATATGCCACACTCTCCATGTGAGAGTGTGGGAAGGTAGGCGTGAGACCCCTGGCAGCAAAAGAAGCGTGCTGCATATTTCCTAGGGCAAGTGGGGAGTTGGGACCCCCGGCAACAAATGGAGAGTGCGGCCCATTTTTCAGGGAAAGCGGGGACCGGACCTCGAGCAGAGTATGCAGCCTGCTCTATAGCATCCCAAGACAGCAGGGAGCTGGGATTCTTGGCACCAGAGGCAGCATGCACATCTTCCGAACACTCCGAGGCTCGGCAGCAGAGGCAGTGTGATGCACATTCTCCAAAAGGACCACGTCCACTGAGGGGTGAGGCAGAGGAGCGCTCAAGTCTGCCATGATATGCTGATGCCCACTAATATGGTGTTCTATGATAGGCCGGTACTCATTAGGCTGTTAAGCAAAAGTCTGGTCAGCTCTAGGCCGGTCAGTGCTACGCTGGTTAGTGCGAGGCTGGTCAGCAGCAGCAGCATCGCCACTGTATGCAGCCTCCAACTCCTCTGCTGCAAATTCCTGCATGAACACATCCCCGCCGCTGCTGGCCGCACTGCCCTGCTCTGTGTCATCAAACTCCCCAGCTGGGGGGGGCATCGCCGCCAATTGTTCGCTGACACCCTGCTCTGTGTTGCTGTGCTGCAGGCTGACAGTACTGTCGAAGATGGTAGGTGGAGAAGCAGGAGTGGGAAGGAATGGGTGGGAGTGGAAGGCAGAGGCACTGTGGGCGACAGCAGGGTTCAAGAGAGGAGAGGTCAAGGGGGGACAGGTCAAGGGGGGAGAGGTCAAGGGGGGAGAGGGAGATGTTAATGGGGGAGAGGTCAAGAATGGAGAGGTCAGAGTGGAAACGGAGTGGCTGCAAGAGGAGAGAGGGCGCTGGAAAGGTTTGAGCAGCTCTTGCTGCTGCTGCTGCACCAACTGCTGTTGCTGCATTGGCTGCTGCTGCTGGGACTGTGCCTCCACCAACTACTGCTGCTGCTGCTGCTGCTGCTGCTGCTGCTGCTGCTGCTGCTGCTGCTGCTGCTGCTGCTGCTGCTGCTGCTGCTGCTGCTGCTGCTTCTGCTGCTGCTGCTGCTGCTGCTGCTGCTGCTGCTGTTGCTGCTGCTGCTGCTGCTGCTGCTGCTGCTGCTGCTGCTGCTGCTGCTGCTGCTGCTGCTGCTGCTGCTGCTGCTGCTGCTGCTGCTGCTGCTGCTGCTGCTGCTTCTGCTGCTGCTGCTGCTGCTGCACCATCAGCCGCTCCTCCACCCACGGCCACTGCTGTCCCTCCAGCAGTCCCTGCTGCAGCGGATGCTCCATCAGCCCCTCCCTGTACTTGGTAACAAGGCCCCGGACCTGCTCCTCCCACCACCTCACTAGGCCCTGACCGTACCTGCTAGCAGGCGCTCTTGGCTGGAATGCTGCCATGTGCAACATTGCCCTGCCCAGCTGTCCTGCTCCCACTGGCCCCTGGTCCCGAGACCGCGAACACTGGCAGCAGCTGCAGCAGCAGCTATCCCTTCAACCGCCAAGCTGCCATCCCAAGCCTCTCCACTACCCACACATGCAGCAGAAAGATCTGCAGCAGCACCACCCTCCCTAGCATCCACATCCCCCACACAACCACAAGTACCAACACCACCCACAGCACCCGCCATAGATCCCCCACCACCCATACCACCAGCGTTACCAGCACAACCGGCAGCGCTCGTACCACCCGCAGCACTTGTGTCACCTTTGGAGGGTTGGGAATCTGGGGTTGGATTTCTAGGGACAGGCGACTCCAGGGGGAAAGATACGGTGTGGCTCCGACCCCACACAGACACAGGCTCGAAATGAGGCTCCGACCAAAGCTGGTTGGAAACCTCGAAAGCATTGTCGTTTTTCTCCAAAGCTGGGGTATGCCTTCCCAGGTAGGGCTCCTTCCAATCCTTAACAGGGGACATGTCATTTGTGAAGTCTGCAGAAGAGCAACGAGCAGCAGCAGATTTGCTCTTTGGTGCTGCTGCTGCTGCTGCTGCTGCTGCTGCTGCTGATGCTGCTGCTGATGCGGCGGCGGCGGCTGCTGCTGCTGCTCTTGCTGCTGCGGCTTGTTCTGGTAGTGCTGAAGCTGATGCAGATTCACGACTAGAGACGAGCTCCTTGGCATGGTTAAGGCATACCGCATGTCGTCATCATGCCAGTTGGTATCATGCTGCTTAAGACTTGCCCCAAAAGGCATCATTATGACAGAAGCATATTGTATGTTGTGATCATGCTGGTCGGAACCGCTGCTCAAGACGTGCCCCAATGGGTGCACCATGCCAGCAGTGTACTGCATATCTGCATGCCAAGATGAGGGGAATACCACTGCAGCCTCGTCTGCACATGGCAAGGAGGCCCCTTCACCAAAATCTCCCAGTCACCTCCACGGCCCATAAACCCGCGTGTGCTTGGCTTGGCGGTGCTTGCGGCTCTGCGTGTGGCTGGACTGGCCCTGCTGATGCTTCCTGTCCCAGCAACGCATGTTGTCCTGCCGATGCTTCTTGGACGCCTAGACTTGTGGCCTTCTCCATGCATAAAATCCCTGCTTCTGCTGTCCCTGCTGCCCCTGCTGCCCCTGCTGCCCCTGCTGCCTCTGATGCCCCTGCTGCCCCTGCTGCCCCTGATGCCCCTGCTGCCACAGCTGCTCCTGCTGCCTCTGCTGCCCCTGCTGATCCTGCTGGCATCACAACACCTGCCTCCCGGCCCCATCGACCACGTTGACTGCATTGACCCTGGGCAGAGGGAGCAAATGGCACAGCAGCATTGGATGCCTGAAGAGGCGTGGGTGCCTGACTTGCCAGTTCCACTACCAGCGAACATCACAGGAAATCCTGTCTTTTCCTCTTCTCCTGACTGTATCTGGCTCGCAGCTTTTGTTCTCTGTAGTCATAGCTACCGCAGCTCTCTGTGGAGGCGGCAGAGCGGGAGGTGACAGAGCAAGAGCGGTAGAGGAGGGAGGCAGCAGAGCGAGAGCAACTAAGGGAGGCGGCGGAGCAGGAGGCAATAGAGCGAGAGCGGCTAAGGGAGGCGGCAGAGGAAGAGCGGCAGAGGAGGGAGGTGGCAGAGCGGGAGGAGGCGGCAGAGCGAGAGCGACTAAGGGAGGCGGCAGAGCAGGAGGCGGCAGAGGGAGAGCAGCTTAGAGAGGTGGCAGAGCAGGAGGCGGCAGAGCGAGAGCAGCTAAGGGAGGTGGCAGAGCGGGAGGCGGCAGAGGAAGAGCGGCAGAGGAGGGAGGCGGCAGAGCGGGAGGAGGCGGCAGAACGAGAGCGACTAAGGGAGGCGACAGAGCGGGAGGCGGCGGCAGAACGAGAGTGACTGAGGGAGGCGGCAGAGCGGGAGGCGGCAGAGCAAGAGCGGCAGAGGAGGGAGGCGGCAGAGGAAGAGCGGCAGAGGAGGGAGGCGGCAGAGTGGGAGGAGGCGGCAGAGCGAGTGCGACTAAGGGAGGTGGCAGAGCGGGAGGCGGCGGCAGAGTGAGAGCAGCAGAGAAGGGAGGCGGCAGAGGGGGAGGAGGCGGCAGAGCGAGAGTGACTAAGGGAGGCGGAAGAGCGGGAGGAGGCGGCAGAGCGAGAGCGGCTAAGGGAGGCAGCAGAGCGGGAGGCGGCAGAGCATGAGCGGCAGAGGAGGGAGGCAGCAGAGCGGGAGGCGGTGGCAGAGGTTGAGAGATTGAGGGTGTGGGGTGATGTGTAGCAACTAGTAGCAACAGACCCGAGCGGTGGGGTTGCAGTGATTTACGAGGAGAAAGACGGAGGGTTTGTAGAGGCTGGGCGAGATTTGGAGGGGGGTGTTGAGCCGACTGGAGCCCCGCCCTGCTTCATCGTCGGCAGACTCTGCTGGCACAGTTGGTGACTTGCATCGTGGCTGACATCCCCACGCAGATGAACAACGTCAGTGCTCTGTACTGACGGATGCAAGAGTGGGACAGGAAGTACAACGCCGATGCTCAGGCACTTCTTAATGAGTACCGAAACATCAAAGCGACGCTAATGGATGAGTGTCAATGTGGAGAATCTGCGTGGCAAGCGCTTGTGAATAGCACAGCAAAGCTGCATGAGGTGGCAGCGGCAGCAGCGGCAAAGGCTGTGGCCCAGGGGAGCCAGAAACTCCTCCGGTCCATCGGCGAGAGCGTTCAATCGGCAGTCGACAAGGCCATGGCGCTCGCAGCAACCGAAGGCCGTTTTAAGGTCGTTCTGCTGAGCGACTATATGATGTCGATGAAGTCTGCCATCCTCGCGGTGGTAAAGGAACGCCTCTCAGCCTCCGTCTCAACACAACCCCCCTCAAACAACCCATGCACTCCCGGGCCGACGGCAACGCCCCCGATGAATGCTGCAAATGGACCCCTCCCACCTGCTCCACCACCTCCGGAACAAGCAGCAGCACCTGCACCCGGGTCCTATCAGCTGTTTGGCAGGATGTCAACTGCGAGGCCAATGCCTACTGAGCACCTACCATACCAGATAGATGACGCGCCTCCGCTGACGGTCGAATCTCCGGAATGCCATGTTGCCGTGGCGGAGCGTGTTGTGGAAGCATGGGTCGCTTCAGACAGCTGCAATCAAGGGGGCGGAGGGAGTGGTGTGGGAGGTACCGAAGAGACATCCGGCCTGCTGGGCACAGAGCACGGTGGTCCGTTTGGGGTGGCGGAGAGGAGGGCAGCGAGGCATGCGCGGGAAAGGCAATTGGAGTCGCAGCGCCTGTCAGAGGAGAGGCGGGTGGCACAGAAGTGAAAGGAGGATGAGAGAAGGATGGTAGCACAAGCGGGGGGAGAGAGGCAAGGCCACGTTGAGAGCGCAGAATTCAGGGGCAGAGAGGGGCGTGGGAGAGGTGATGGCGGGCAGCAGAACCAAAGGAAGCGCAGAACAATGCGCCATGCCAAGCAGGCCCTCAACTCAAACAGGCCAACCTTTGGCACCGTGACACTCTATGTCGAGTCGGATGACGATGCGGAGGAGCAGCCGCTGGGGACCCGTCTGAGAGAGCTGAGCAGCAGGAGCGCCCCACGGGAGCGCGCGTGTCGGCAGCAGAGAGAGGAGGGGGTTCAGAGTGAGGAAGATGTGCGACGGACTGTACCGCATGAGGGAGACCAGATGAGACAGGCAGAGCATATGGAGCGGCAGAGGTCACAGCAGGGCCTCCCATTGGAAGCAATGGAGCGCGAGAGGGAGTGAGTGAGGGTGGAGCGGCGGTGGGAGTTGCAGAGACAGGACGCGAGGGAAGATCGACTGAGGGAGAGGCACAGAGCAAATCGTCCGACGTCAGCGGGGACACATGGGGAAAGGGGGAGACAAGAGAGGTTGCACGAGAGAAGTGAGCTTTGGCGGCACACTGATTCAGCCCTAATTACGCGGAGGGCTGTGGAGCATTCCAGGCTGCATCAGGGGGAGGGGGAGATGGTAGAGGCGCAGAGAGAGCTGTTCAGTCCTGAGAGGTTGTACCAGATGTGGAGAGCCGAGCAGGAGCGGGTTGAAAGAGACTTGGAAGCCGACCGGGAAAGGGCGAGACAGAGGGCAGAGCAAGCGTGGGTGCGGAAGGAGAGGGAGGAAGCCGAGCGGGAGCGGCAGAGGGCAGAGGAACAGAAAGCATCAAAGGCACGAGCGCGTGAGAGGGAGGAAGCATCGCGGGTGAGCGAGAGGGCACAGAAGCAGAGAGCAGCAGAGGCACAAGCGCGTGAGCGAGAGGAGAGGGAGGCAGCTGAGCGGGAGGGGGAGAGGGTGAGGGCAGAGGAGCTTAGAGCGGAAGAGGTTGCGCGGGGGCGTGAGCGGGAGGCGAGGGAGAAAGCAGAGCGGGAGAGGAAGAGGGCAGAGGAGCGCAGGTCGGCCGAGGAGAAGCGGGTGCACGAGCGGCAGGAGAGGGAAAAGGCAGTTGAGCGGGAGATGGAGAGACTGCGGGCAGAGATACAAAAAGCGGCAGAGGTGGCGCAAGTGCGCGAGCAGGAGGAGAGGGAGATGGCTGCTGAGCGTGAGAGGGAGAGGGTGAGAGTGAGGGCAGAGAAACTTAAGGCAGTAGAGGAGGTGCGGGAGCGTGAGCTGGAGAGGGAGGCAGCAGAGTGGATGAGGAAGAGGGCAGAGGAGCAGAGGGCAGCAGAGGAGGCGCGGGTGCGCGAGCGGGAAGAGAGAGAGAAGGCTGCTGAGCAGGAGAGGGAGAGGGTGAGGGTTGAGAAACTTAAAGCGGCAGAGGAGGCGCGGGAGCGTGAGCGGGAAGAGAGGGAGCAGGAGAGGGAGAGGCTAAGGGCAGAGGATCTTAGAGCGGCAGAGGTGGCGCGGGTGCGCCAACGCGAGGAAGCGGAGCGAGAAAGGGAGAGGCAGAGGGTGCACGAGCTGAGAGCGGCAGAGGTGGCACAGATGCGCGAGCGGGCGGAGAGGGAGAAGGCAGCTGAGCAGGAGAGGGAGATGGTGAGGGCAGAGGAAATTAGAGCGGCAGAGGAAGCGCGGGAGCGCCAGCAGGAGAGGGAGGCGGCAGAGCGGGTGAGGAAGAGGGCAGAGGAGAGGGCGGCAGAGGAGACGCGGGTGCCCGAGCGGGCGGAGAGGGAGAAGGCTGCCGAGCGTGAGAGGGAGAGGGTGAGGGCAAAGAAACTTAAAGTGGCAGAGGAGGCGTGGTAGCACGAGCTGGAGAGGGAGGCGGCAGTGCGAATGAGGAAGAGGGCAGAGGAGCAGAGGGCGGCAGAGGAGGCGTGGGTGCGCGAGCAGGAACAGAGGGAGATGAAGGCGCAGAGGAAACGGAGCGATGGCATGAGAGGACAAGGGTAGAGAAAGTGGACTCGGTAGAACACACGGGGCGCGGGCGCCTGCAGATCGGGCCTGAAGAGGGTGAGCCGGAAAGTGCAGAGAACCAACACTGTGCCAACTCGCGGCAGAGTGGATCGGAATCGAGGCACAGACGATCCGGGAAAAGGTGTGGACGAGGAGACAACCTGCGTCATGACCGCAGGCCGGCAAAAAGGCAGTGCCCCAAAACAGCCCCACCACGTTTGGCGCCACTGGCCTCTCATCACTCGGATGATGACGGCTCCAAAAACGAGTCCATGAGACAACGTCTGGGAGTGTGGCAGAGGGAAGATATGGAGACCGTGGCACTAGCCATGGGAGGGTACACTAGCCAGGCCCGGATTTTGTAGCGAATGGTCCAGCCCGGGATTTTGAACGGACAGTGGGGGGAAGGAAGCGCAACATGGGCTGCCACGTCGAGGCGTGGAAGCGCGACTTCGTGATTGCAGTTTGCTGGAGCGCGTTCTTCCCTGATGTCAACCTGCACCACTACAAGCTGGACCAGATAGTGGTGGCCATGGTCGACTTGCTGGATTTTGCCAAGCTTCTGCCAAATGGAGTCTGGAGTGTAATGAACGAACTCTGCCTCGACCAGCATGATACGTGAGCCGTCTCCCCTTCCGCTCTACCGTCGTGTATGATGTCAACATGTCAAGTCATGCACCTTGTTATGCACCCTACTAATGTTTCTCTGCATTTTACGCAGCTTCAAGACGGTCGTGGAGGTGACGCTCGCCAACCTCGATGAACGGCGCAAGGTGCCGGACTCGGAAGAGCGGGGGTTGCCACCATCACTGGAGGGGGGCGTAAAGGGGTGATGCCGCCACCAGCAGGCGTAGACCCGGTCGTCTACTCTGCTGGCATAGCGGCGGCATTATACACGCTATGGGCCACCTCCTACTGCCTCCCAGTGGAGGATCTAAAGGAGGATGCGGCTGAAGCAGCAACCATGACGAGCAATGTGAAGTACAGGAGCCTGGTCGCCTCAGCCGCAATTAGCGGCATTGCAGCTATGCGCGAGCTTAAACATAAGGTCGACAGGGAAGACATTCTATATCCCGCAATTCTGAAGAATGTTGAGGGGGAAAAGATGGAGCCGACCGTCCAGGGCATGGCCAGGGCTGTCGCACGCGTCGTGATGCAATGGAGTCTGTGCGGCATAGCGTCGGTGATCCTAGACGTATACGAGGTTGGTCTGCTGATCATCATGCAGAAAAAACGCAAGGGGAGAAAGGGACCTGGTCAGACTACCGTGGAGGATGTAGTGGAGGAGGCCGGAAATGCTGCAGAAGCGGCAAAAGGGTGACTGACGCCAGAGCTGGAGGACGAGTGGGGTGACACACGCTGCTGCTCCACGTAAACATAGTGTCCCAACGTAGTTAGCTTGTAACACTGAATTGACAAGCGTTTGCCAATGGAATATGCATGGTAGAGTTCCAAACTAGATATAGCTTCAGTTGTATATACGCTCTGTTGTGCTTGTTCGATTGCATGTGCATGTTCGGTTGTATGTGAGTACCGAAACCAGGCAATGTTGGATGCTTGACACAATGCAGCACGTAGGGAGAACAAGGCCACCACTACTGCCTCGAAATCGAATGTATTCTGCCTTGCAAAACATGTACACAACAATGTTGGCAGAACCCGATACATGCCCGTTAGAAAAGCTGCCACAAGCGGCAGGCTCCAATATACTCTGCGCATGAATGCACGTAAACATAGGCGTTCGACACGCCAGGGGCAGGACGGCTAGGACGACACACTGGCAACTCTACCACATCCTTCAAAACCATCTAAGACCCCATGTTCACCGACACAACAGTGCAGTACACCTCTGCGCCGCTAACCAGACTCCACCCATCCCTTCTTCTCCCCTCTTTCTACCTTTGCCTTCTCTTCTGCCCACATCTGGGGCCACTCGTCCCCAAACGTCGTATTTCCCCAGGCATGATTCTGAATACCTACCGCCACGAGCAGGTACGCAACTCGGGCATGCTGTTCCTCCGTCAAGGACTTCTCTCCGCCATCGGTCAAAGATCGAGCCCTTTTTTAAGCGACTTGGAGAGAACAACGCCATCTGAGAGTGCGCTCATGGAGGTCAAATCCTTCAGCCGCTCCACAATCGCCACCGCCGAAGCCGTGGCCGCTTCCGTATTGTCCGATCGGAAGTGATCAACCGCATCCATCAACTTTTTTATGCGCTTCATCTTCCGGTCACTGGTCCCGTCTTTTACGTTGAGAACCTTGCCCTCTGCGAACTTTGCATACTGTATGTGAGGAAGAATTCAAGGGTCGCATTGAATACATCGCGCAAGCTCTTGCCAACCTCGAGCAGGCACACCTTGTCCCAGATCATCCAGGCATCCTTGACAGTCTTGCTCTCACGCCATGGCAAAACCAGACCATCGAAAATGATCTGCTCCGCCAATCGTGTGCGTGGCACACTTGCGGGCGCGGGCAGGGCATGCTCTCCGGTAGAGACCTTCTGATCCTCGGACCCCGCTTTCGCCTCTGCGAGGTCGGCCTCCAGCTGTCGCTCTCGCTCGGCCCGTCGAGCGACATCATGCTCGAGGACCTGGACCCTTTCCTCCAGGGTGTTGACCCTAACCTGCAGTTGGAGGTTCTCGACCTGCAGCCTCCCTGCCTCTGCCCTGATCAAGCCTTTCTTGACATGGAGCTTCTCAATCATGTGCATTGCTGTTATGCAATACAGCGCATCCTGCAACGAGGAATAACCCTAGCAAATTCAACTCATCATTACATACAGTAAACAGCAGAGTGGACATGCACTTAGAGCCTGTGCGGACATGTGAGGGTTTTGCCGAACCAACTTCCCGAACGCATCCATTTGGTAAACGATGATCGCTCACTTTTGGAACAGCGGCTCGTGGCATAGCGTGGAGATCTGGACTTACGGGTGTCGCTTGCATGGGCATCGAGGGCTGCGGGGGTTGTAGGGGTGGGTCTTGCAGTAAACCCACATCATTGCCAGGTCCTGCACAAAAACCTGCCGGCCGACCAGCTGGAGGGTCTCCAGAAACCTCCGCCCTGCCTGATGTTTGTTCTTTGAAGTCTTGTCCTTGTTCCAAGCATCCACATATAGGACGAGAGCAGAGGAGTCGAAAGGCATTATAGCGAGGCATGCTTCGTTAAGAGGAGCGGCAAAGTGCAAGTTTACCTTCTCCAACTGCTCCTCCAGCCACGGGTAGATAAGCTTCACAAAAAGCGCCTGCAACGCTAGCCACTCCGCGGGGTCCGGGAGACTGGCGTGGGCTTTGCCAATGTAGTAGTCTCCAAGCTCACCGCTGAAGCCGGCCATCATCAACACGGGTTTAAACGGTATGCCGATGATGTACGACGAGCGCATCTCGCTCTTCTCCCAGCCTCCGAGCGCGACAATGTAAAAATCCGCGCAACGGTCATCGCTCAGACCTTGCGCCCAAGATCTGCGGAATGCATGAGTCACCTGGCTGAGCAACCAGCTTGCACATTTCATTGCCCAGGCAAGCCAGCCGTTGGGTAGCATACAAAATCTCATCCTGCTCCTGTGGTCGACGGTCTTTTTTTGTTTTCAAGACGAAAAATAGGTGTTTCTTCGTCCATACCAGCGGTCGAGAGAAATCTAGGGGCAGAACGATATCCGCCCGATAGCGCCGATGCACCAGGTCGTACAGCCAATGTATCCACATAAACACCACGCCCAAGCCGCATAGCTACCAGTCAATGTGCCTTGCCACAAACTGGTGGGACAGCTTGTTGGTGGTGTTTGTCTTCGTTCTGCGAGAGGCGAAGACAAGGATGGTAAATCGGGTTCTTCCATAGAAGTGCTGCTCCTTACTGTACGAACATACATATTGGCGAAACGCATCTTCCGAATGCTGCACCCCCTTCCCAGCACCTGGTGCGCTAAGAGTATCATGACCCTCACTTCTAGGACCCTCCACAGCGACTGCGACGGCGACCTTCTGCTGGCACAATAGAGACGCCTAGTATGCAACAGCAGAGAAACATGGTACAGTTTCTTGTACTGCTCGGGGGTGTAGCAGTCATCCAGAGACCCTCGATGCTGGTCTTCACCCTTCCTGCAGGTAGCAGATGAATGGGGGACACATTAGCTGGGCGCGAACAGGAATCCGACGGTCGAAAGGGGAACGGATGCGGAACAAACGCCAACTCGCGTGGAAGGATGTGGGCATAGGGCGACCCGGTACTCACTCGATCTGCTTGGCATCAAGCTCTTTCAGCGTCACAGCCACAAAGACCCTTGCCTCCTTAATCACCTCCATGAGCTTCTTCACCAAAGTCCCATACAGTCTAGCCTCGCAAATGCCTTAGCAGCACAACACGTTCATCTTCGCTTTCATCATGCTCGCCGTGCTCTTCTTAGGATTCTTGCCAGCAACGACCTTCTTACCCCGTAGCTTTCTAGCCTGGTTGTCAGTCTCTAAAAAGAGGTACCAAATGTACTGGAAAATCCTCCATTCGGGGTCCGTGCATGTGAGTCTCCTCCCTGGGCACCATCTCCAGCATGGTCGTTGCCTTCGTCCATCCCAACTGCGCCCGGGTTCCCTTCCACATCCTTCTCCTCTGCGTCATGGTACTCTTCTTCCACTTCCACCTCGTAAAACTCGTCGCGATCACCCTCCTGAGCAATGTCGACATCCGTCACAGGCAGCTCTGCGTCGTCCTCGTCGTACAGTGGCAGAGGCAGCTCTGCGTCGTCCTCGCGAGCTGGCAAATAATGCTGGCAGAGGCTCTCAGCACTAGGAAGGGGGACTAGGCAGAGCACGCGAGTTGGAAAATGATATGGCAGACTAGCTGGCAACATGGGACAGGGACTCGGCAGAGACCTCACGAGCTG